CTATCGGACCTTCGGTCTATAGGGCTGTAACCGCTGTTATGTATTGACGAAGAGTGATGTAACTCATAATGGTCTTTTATTGCTGGAGCTGGTACATGTTCTGCTTAGCACGCACACAAACTGGCGAACAAGAGAGCGCGATATCAATCCGTGTTGACCTAACAATAAGGTACTAGATTATATAATGTGCATGCGCATAGTAAGTAGTCCATACTATTACATCCCCCTTATCAAAGAAACGTTTAACAAAAAATAGCATGAATTAACATAATTGAATAATTGAAGTATTGGAATCATTGAAAATCCTTTCTCCTAATTCTTATACTTTGTTTATCCTTTATCAAAATCAAGAATACTGTACTGTTACTCATAATGAAATAAGGATTATCACTGCTTGTGACGCAATACAGTCAAGTCATGTACTGTCTATAATATACAATAAAATTAATGTCAATACTGTTCCATCCATTATCACCCGTCATAATTACTCGTATCGCGGAGGTTTCTTTACCTCTCTACTGGAACGCATTTTATATAAATTTGGTTGGGTCTGCACATGCGAATTATTAATACTATCGCGATCAGGTGGCTTCTCTTCCGTCGACGACATCATCGGCTGTGCAGCTGATGTTTGCGACTCTCCATGGACATCGTTGGTCGTGGGGCCGATCCCAGTGTTGGCGACGTCCTTGACGTGCTCGCGCGTCATCACAAGAGGGTGTGCAAACCTCACTTGCTTTTTTGCGGTCACAGGATCTGCCATCTCTCGGATGTGTACGCGATTTCTCCTGAGTGTCTTCCCATTAGGGGTTTCTATAATGTAGGACCTCGATTCGCTACACTTCGAAACAATGATGGCGGGATGCCAGCAACTAGTCTCATGATCCTGCACACTCACTGCTTGTCCAGGCATGAGAGGTGGCAGGTCATGTGCTGTAAGGTCGTGGTACATCTTCTGAACTTCTTGTCGCTGTTGCATTTTGTAGAGCTTGGATCCGGTCTGTACTAAACCGTACTAAATCCACTCTAACGTCAAGCTCGTCATTCTCTGCATTGGGAAGTCGACTTAACGTGTCTGGCAGAGTCATCTCCCTTCCGGGTCTGTACTCGATGTCCAGTTGGTAGTCCTGTAGCTTTAGCCTTATCTGCTGTAACCTTGGAGGTGCACTTCTCGGTGGCTTTTGTAGGATCATGACCAATGGCTTGGGCTCGGTCAAGACCTTGAACCTCCGTCCGTATAGATATGTGTGAAATCTCTGCACACCAAATACTATGGCCAACAGTTCTCTTTCGATGCAAGCGTAACGCTTTTCGGTGTCCGATAGTGATTTCGAAGCGTATGCTACTGGCTTTTTATCTTGTAATAAAGCTGCGCCTAGCCCCTTAAGACTAGCGTCATATTGAAGAACCGATGTTTTGTTGGTGTCAAAGTACTACAGGGTAGTCTTTTGTTACGACTTCCTTGAGTTTGTCGAAACATTGCTGATCGTGATCTTCCCACTGGAACGGCACATCCTCCTTGAGTAAGCCACGGAGCGGTGACGACTTGTCTGCCAAGTTAGCTATGAATGGCGACAGATATGTTACAAACCCAAGGAACTCTTGTAGCTCTTTCTTACCGGTTGGCGCTGGCATGGCTTGTAAGTCATTTATCTTGCCATGGTCTGGATGGACACCTTTGTCACTGTATACATTCCAAAGAATGTGATACTGTTCGTCTTAATGTCACACTTTGTAGAGTTAAACACAAGACCGTTCTCCGCTGCGACTCGCATAAGGTTGTGTAAAGTACGGTCATGTTCGTCGTCAGATTTTGCGTACACTACGACATCATCAGCAATTCCTACGGCACCATCAACTTGCTCTAGTATTTGATCCATTTGCATCTGGAATACGACTTGCGAGATCGATAAACCAAACGGTAAGCGCTGGAAACAGTACCTTCCGAATGGAGATTGGAAGGTTGTAAGCAGTTGAGACTCTGTGTCGAGTTGTACCGACCAGTATCCTGCCTTGGCATCCAGTTTTGAGAAGTCTTTAGCACCCGCGTAGTGATGCATCAGTTTCTCGATTGTGGGGATTTTGTCGTGTGGGCGTTTTAGAGCTTGGTTCAGGTGTCTTGGGTCCTAGCATATGCGCAGGCTGCCATCCTTCTTAGGTGGGTACGCTAGACTCGAGACCCAATCAGATGGTTCTGTCACCTTTCTGATGACACCGTCCTTCTCCATGAGGTCAATTTCCTTCTTGATCGCTTCCTTTAACGCTATCGGTGTTTTGCGTGGTGGATCTATGTGTGTTGGCACGTTGGGGTCTACTACAATCTTTGTCACCCCAGGCATGCAACCGATCCTGTCGAACTGGTCTGGATACAGCCGTTTCAGATCATGAATGTTACTGATGGACGGCTTCACACTGTCAGTGGTCCTGTCAGTTTCAGCTTTGATAGCACAGTGTAGTGTTACAAGTTTCAGTTGTTCACATGTTGGGAGGCCAGCGACTGCTGGTCCTTCCACGTCTACTATGTAGAACTTGCTATCCCTCCAGCCAGAGCCGTTGTAGCTACATGGAATGTTGATAATTCCATAACACCTGATCGATGATCCATTATATGCTGTTAGCCGTGTTTGACGAGCTGCGTTGGATATCGTGTTAATTGGAAATCCTCCCGGTGTGAGCATGCCGGGATACATCTGGCGAAATGTCGACAGTGGCAGTGTATTGCCCTGTGCACCAGTGTCCACCTTCAGTCGCAAATTATGCACTCCAGGGCGATTGGCCAGTTTGATGTGCAGTTTTGCGAATGCTTCATCCCTGGTTGATTTCTTTAGGCACATAGACGAGATGGTAATTCTGTCAAATGACAACCCGTCACTTTTCTGGTCTGACTGTCTGTCCAACTGTGCGTATATGGCATCAGTCTTGCTACGGTCACGGTTATTCATGGGCGTCTTGCTTCGAGCACCTCTGTAGGAATTACCTCTGCCTCTGCCTCTGAATTGTGCATGATCGTTGTCACGCGATGTTGAGTAGCCTCGTACACGTGATTTGGAGTACCCTCGGTCATGTGATTTGACCTGGGTCTAGCTCGTGACTTGCTTGACGGACACACAGTAGCCCAGTTGTTTTGCTTACCACATGCATTGCACACTGACCCATGTGCTGGGCACCGTTCTTTGGGTACTCAGGTATCTGAGTGCTAGCTATGAGCTCCATAACTCGCTCGTCTATCTCTGTCTTTGAATTGACATCGTAATGCTTGTAGTTTACATCTATTGACAAATTCATCCAGACTTTCTCCCTGTTTTTGTCTGTAGTGCATCAATTTCAGACGACTTACCCTAAAGTTCTCTGAAGGTTCCAGTTGCTCGGCAAATTTATCGAATATTTTGTCGACTTTTTTTCTTCCTCAGTCAAGGTCCACGAGTTGTATCTGCGTAGTCCCTCGTCCCCCACTTGCAATAATAAATGGTTAACTTGGTTAACAGTGTCAATGTTCTTCACCTTGAAGTATAGTTCAAGGTGTTGACGAAAGAGTTTGAGGACGTCAGCTTGGTTGGGCAATGCCCAGTCCATGTTAGGTACGCGATCACCCGGCATGTTTACTGGTTCCAACAACGTATTAGCGAATGCCGCACTGTGTCTGTAGATAACACATCACCTATCCGTCTTGTATGTGCAAGTGGTCATACAATGATGTCCGTCAACTTTTATTTCGCCAGCCACTGTATACTGTCGTGTGGCTTTCTGCTGTGCACCGCGCTGTAAACGTCACACCGCTCGCGCGCACAAATCCTGTCTATTGTCTAGACACGCATGCTGTAGACACACATGCTGTACACACACGTGCTGTTTTCTCCATGGCATCTGCAGCAGCAGCGGTATGCAGCCGGGCGAACTTTTCCTCGACGCATACACGCCTGCCCAGCAAACGTTCAGCACTAATCCTCACAGTTTCTCTTTGCTGAGGCTTTCCAAACACTGTTCCTTCGCCGCTGACACCATGTTATGTATTGACGAAGAGTGATGTAACTCATAAAGGTATTTTATTGCTGGAGCTGGTACATGTTCTGCTTAGCACGCACACAAACTGGCAAACAAGAGAGCGCGATATCAATCCGTGTTGACCTAACAATAAGGTACTAGATTATATAATGTGCATGCGCATATTAAGTAGTCCATACTATTACAGTAGCCTTAGTCCCACGGGGACCGAGGTAAACACGTCCATTCACCTCGGCGGCAACGAAGTTTGCTATATTTTGTATTACTTGTTTGCATTTACTATGTTTTATATGTTGTCTGATGGATGTTTGTACCCTACAGGAATAAGGCATTTGTTTAATTAAAATAAATGTGTTTTATTTTAATCATTGTTGTTGCTCCATTCTAGTTCTGACGTAAGTTTACACAAATCTGTTGTTGTTATCAACAACTTTGTTGTACGTATTTCTTAATCTCTTGAGGCGATTATTCACTTGCTGAATAGATTTGATGATCTCTCGCTTAGGCTAGCCAGTTTTTCGACGATGTCTTGATAGACTAATCGATTTCTCGATGTCCCCGTTAGTTGTTCCTGAATAAAGTCGGTTGTCAAGATCTCCAAAAGAGCGACATTCTCCTCGTGTGACCATAGTTCTGCTGTTTGTTTAGCCATTCATATATTTATACTAGTATATTAGTGAAAATATTGAAAAGTGTAGATCGAAACTGTTATTGTGAAATGCAGAAAGCGAAAGTCGGCACTGGCGACGTCTACCGCCGTACTAATGCCGACCCGAGTCGTGTGCTGGTGCGCATTCACACGGAAAAAAGGAACCAGCGCTCGGGTCGTTTTCGACCTGGGTCGTTTTTGCACCCACTCTGGAGCAAGGCCTATAGATAAACACAGGTTAAGACGATGATTGGTCCAATGCTTAAGCGTCACAGGCGCCATGTTGACTCCAGCAGCGAACCATGCAATGGCGCTAAAACTATGCATGCGTATACGCATGGGTGTTTTTGTTATTTATTTATTTATTTAGGTAATTATCCATGATATATATTGCGTAGCATACTTTTACTAAATATTTTGAATTCATGAATTTAGATAACTACCAAGGATATACACAAAAAGTATGACTAGCACACTTATTTACATTGCGGTCATTGTTTTGCTATGTTACTGAATAAAGGACACTATACAGTACACTAGGGCCTAATTACTACTATCACTGTGACTATCACTAATATCAGCATATAACTATTAAAGTTAAACAACTACTAACTATTGGAATATACACATTTGTAAATTTATCAGTCATACATTCTCGTAAGGTTCTACAAACTTTTCTCATACCCTAAATACAATCCGAATGAAATTAGTGAAAATCGTGCTCTTCCTCCAATGTTTCGACTGGCATTAGACATTTTTTAACACTAAGTATAGATAGAATTTGTCCTAACATGGTGTGGTAGAGAGTTTCAAGTTTTAATTGCAGTGTAAATAAAAGAGTTTTTCCCACTGCTTCCCACCCTTGGTATAAATATAGACATCTCACCTTCCAATTGTACTGAATCTGTGGACTTCAGATGTTAACATGAGAATCCTTCTGTCATATACATACATGAACGTTGTTAACCTTTAGTTGTATTACCCTGTGCTCTACTGGTACCCAATTTACAGCTTTAAACTCTCTAGCACCTATGTGTGATCTATAGTGCCTAAGTTGAGAACACATGTATATAATGGCTCTATTTTGGCATTATTTCTATGATTTATACACAGAAGATAAACACATTCTATTATTCTACATTATTCACATTATACTCGTGATTTTTTACAAATATTAAAAAGCTTTCAATACACTTAATTATTGATTTTGAAATTGAACTAGCAGGTATATTTAGAACTTTGTATTAAATAAATTATGCAAGAAGTAAGAGATATGCTTTCCTCCTACTTCGTGAACTTCTAAACTGACGATAGTAACTCGCGTTTCGCTGTCAGCCTTCTCTAGGGTTGTCAGGGACAATATCTGCGGCTTGCCCTTTACCTTCAGCTTCTCTGCCAATTCACTTTAACAGAATGAGTGGGTCGATCCACCATCAAGTAAGGCATAGGTTTCTATCCCCAATTGGGAACCTGGCGCCTTAACGACAACTGGGACAATAGGCAGTGCAGCCCTTCTCGAGCTCCCTAAAACTTTAGCCGTTAAATCTTTTAGACCATCCCTGTCATTTGGTCGCATGGATGACCTTTCAGCGACTTTTCTGATCCATGCTTCCGCAATGACATAGCTGCTACCAAATCTTTGTTTCAGTAGCTGTCAGCCCTTAGCATAGCCTTGATCTGGCTCCATAGCTAAGCAGCACTGGATGACCTTCCTGGCCTTGCCACTGCAATAGTGTAGAAGTCTCAACAGCTTAGAACCGCTGTCTATTGTGCCCTTCTCAACAGTATTATCAAAGGCACGCGTGAAGACCCAGTATTTCAGCGGGTCTCCATCAAAGGTCATCAGCTCAGTCTTCGGCAGCTGCATCATGTCCAGGATTCTCTGCTGCTGCAACCTGTCCCGGGACATCGTGCGCATGAACTCTTCATTCAGAGTTCTGCTTTCACTGGCGCCTTCCTCGACAACCATCGAGCGGTTGTCTCGCCTCTCCTCTCATTCCTCGGCATGTGGATTAAGCTTAGACATCTGGGGTGGGTTTCTCTGCATACCGGCAGCTTCAGGAGATGCGCCTGCCTCGACATTGTCAGCCCAAGAGACAGTGAATGCATGCTTCTCCTTGGTAAGTAAGGCAGACTCGGGTTCAGGGCCTCTTCGCTCAGCCAGATGAACACTCGTCAGGCCAACCGCTTTTTCAGCCAGCCTTTCCCTAGTGAGAGAAGTGGCACTGACATCAGGCACTCCTCGGTCACTAGGATGAACATTCGTCGGGTCTTCTTCACGTTCCGCATTCGCCCATGCCTCTTCTTCTGCTGCTGCCTTCGAAATTTCGGTTTCAAGGCGCAACGTTTTCCTTCTCTGCCGAAGCTGCATCTCTTCTTCTTCACGTATTCGCTGGAACCTCGCTTTTCCTGGTCTTCTCGTCTCTGCACCAGCTCTCTCTCGTCCTCATCGAGCTTCTGCTGAGCTTTCAAGATTGAGGCCTTAGCTCGGAGAATTGCCTTCTTTGCTGCTGCTGCTGCTGCCTTAGCTCTGGAACTACCCATTGATGAAGTAGTTCTTTTTTTACTGGTAACACTGCAGGCTATCTCACTAGCTGATTTGGCACTCACTCCCCGAGGACCACCAGCATGCTCGAGATAGGTCTTCACCTCCTCATGCATGAGGGAAAATTTCTTCTCTACCTCATCAAGGTAATTCTGGGACTCTTTCTTCTCCGGCTCTTCGACCAGCAATCTCACAAATTCAAAATGAGACAAGCGAAATCTATCCATGGCAATGGACAGACCGTCTGACGCTCGGTGAACCGAGAGTCTCGGTGAATCACTGTCACAGAGCAATTCCTTCAGCTCGTTCTCCCTCCGGGTGAACTCGGCCTTCGCCTTCTGCTTCAGGCGCCGCATCTTTTCAGAAATGGCACCCTCCTCCATGGCAACGTACGCATTGCCCTCTTCTGCCATGCTCCTGGTCCCTCAGCGGTCTCGGATTCGGTCCCTCACAGTTCGTCACGGTCGGCACCACGGGTGACCGCAACACTGGTCGTGGCACCACCGGTGGTGGCAACACTGGTCGTGGCAACTCTGGTCGTGGCACCACTGAGAATCTTAGCAACATGCCGAAGCATGCTGGCAGCTGGAATTGAAGCAGCAACAGCCAAAATAACAGGCATAATAACACTAACCACAACAGTATCCACCATACATTTCTGACGCTGTTTGCTGAGATACTTCACACAGTGATCGACACACACACAAAACAATTCATAGCCAAATAAATTTTGTTGCATAGGCTTAGTTGTATATAGTTAGTGTAAGTCCGGCTGCAAGCATTTTGGGGATTTTTAAGATTTATAAGTTACAGCAAAATAAATTTAGCCTACCTGCCTCTACGCGGTCTTCCATGCCGGGGTCTCGTCTTATTGCTATCTACTAGTATTGACAATAGTATATGTATTGCACTAGTATAGTGCATCAATATATAGTGCGAGCGAGATATGCGAGTGACTGATCGGCGCAGTGATCTCCTCCTTAGCAGATGACTAGTAAATAAAATACTGTTTGTACTACTTTTCCTTCCTTTTCTGCTTCTTTCTCTTATGCTGCTCTTCTAAATTAAAAATAAACTAACAAAAGATGTCTCTCTACACCGATGAAACTTATTTCTAACGATAGATAATTAGTCTAAGCAGATCGCTAACAACATGCGGATTATCGCGTAGCACAGCTGTTTGTAAACACTAGTGCGACGCACGTTGAACGGCAGCCGAGCGAACTAGGTACTGATCTGTACCAAGGAGCTGTATATTATACCATGTTATATGTAGCTCCTTGATCTGTACCAATTACGGTCATGGTTGAGTAAAGACTTAATGTAACCGCGGTGAAATATTGTGTAGCAATGCCTGAGTAGCTGTTAAAGCAATATCTTACCACGGAAAAAAAAATTGGAGTGCGATGGCTCTAATAATCAAACTATCATCGGCTGCGTCAATACTCACAATAATCTAATAATAATCATCATCGTAACCAGCTCATAAATTTCTTCTCCAATAAATAGGAAAGATTGGTATACGTCGATATTTTAATCATATCATGAACTAGTTAAAAACAAGTAGTTACATTCAATATAATAGTTACATATATTATAGATCTTTAATCTGATTTTTGACAAATTTAGCAAAAATATATAAGTGAACTTAAATATTCAATTTCACAATATATGTCATTCAGTTGCATTCTCGTATAACTCATTTGTACTTTGAAGGCTATCAGTATCATTTACAAGTTCACAGGGTATTTTATTTGTTTCGGTATCATTTTCCATTTCTACTGTGAGGCAAGACGTCGCTGCAGTAGCTAGACACCAGAATGAAATTCAAGAAAGTTTTCATTCGAATATAGACAACAAATAACTTTATTCAGTACGGTAATACATGTTTATACCATATTTAGATACACGCAAATACAAAATATATATTGTATATTATTTAATATACTTAGATTTAAGAGTTTGTCATCCCATTGCTCGCTTGACAGCGATTTTGACTCCGATCGAAAATTGGCCCGAGGATATAAGAGCTGTCCACATTTGGACATGTCGCACATTGCGAAAATGAATTGGGGACAGCTCTTATATCCTTGAACCGAAATCTCTACGATATGATACACGTAACTGCGTTTACACCATCGATTTTTGTCAGCAAATCGTCCGAGTCGTGCAAAATATAACACGTTCCATTTCTCCAACTCGGCGACTTGACTCTGACTGAAAGTGTCTCTGTATTTGAAACGTATTGACATTCCGTTTTATTGACATTCCTTGACATTCCTTAACATTCCTTCCGTGAAAACTGTAACAAACAGGAAAGTCAGGATAATAAATTACCCCGTACATGTCATGATACAATACCCTGGCAAATCAGGTTTAGTATTTAAGAAATAACTGATAACTGTTCACGTTGTGTAAACTGCTCCGTACACAGGACAGGCCTTAGCAACCTATGGCAATACACAAGCTCAAATTCTGCTTACAAATAATCACGCACTGTGCTTCACTGTAAAGCCTGACCTTGAGTGGCTTTGTATATACTATTCACGCAAGTGGCTGTAGTCTATCAACCGCAGCATTACAAGTGCTGTAATTCACCAAACTTAAACAACTATCCGTATCTTGCTAAGCGGAACTAAATGCTATATGAAATTAACCACTGCAAATGAAGACTAACGTTTATACATTGAACTCAATTCTGGCATATTGAACGTTACATATCGAACATAACATATTACATATGAATACTAACGTTTACATATTGAACCCCGTTCCTACGAATATGTATGAGTCACATACTTTACTAACCTTTTTTTCTCTATAATGAAGTGAAATAAACAAACAGAAACCCCCAGTGGAAAGGATTCCACTGGAAAGCTGGCAACGACCTCACTAGGAACAGCACAGACTCGTTCTTCTATATTCTCGCAGTCGCCACCAGGTGGCCCTATCACGTAGAGTAAAGCAACCATCCAATAATATTTCTTTCAACAAGCGAACGCTACATTGCTCCTCTAAATTAGTACCTCTGATTTACTAGGTATCTGCGCTGAGAAATTAAGGCCCTTGCCAGTCGAATGTCGAGAGGTTCCCCGATCGGGAAGTACTCCTGGTCCTCCCGCGGTATTAATAACACTAATTTATGAATCGGACGGTCATAAGAACGCAGGGGACGTATTCGTTGTATTAATTTGTAATTCCCCCTGCATTAATTTTCGGGTCGCCAATAGCCACCTTAACCTTGCGTATATGACCACCCTTAGAGGGGAATAGTTTAAGGATCTTGGCGATTGCCCAAAGGTTTCGAGGCACGTCCTCTTCTTTCAACATTACCAGATCACCAATCTGCGCTTCACGTTGTTGATACGTCCATTTCTGCCGCGATTGTAAGTTTTGGAGATACTCTTTCCTCCAGCGCGACCAAAACATGTTCGCAAGATGTTGAACCCTCCTCCAGCGTTTTCTGGAATACAGATCCTCTTTCTGGAAGTCTCAAGGCGGGGGTAAAAGTACCTTGCTCTTCATGGTCAGAAGATCATTTGGTGTCAACGCCTCTGCATGTGTTGGATCATTCAAGTTGTCTACCGTGAGTGGCCTGCTGCTCACGATGGCTGCCGCTTCGCACAAGAAAGTACGAAGGGATTCGTCGTCGAGTTGTTGGCTCGACTGAAGCATCAATGCTTCCAGCACACGACGAATACTGCGAATTTGTCGTTCCCAGACACCGCCCATGTGACTGGCTGAGGGGACGTTGAACTTGAACTCCGTGTAGTCACAACCCTCTTTGACAAGAAAGTCTTTTATTTTCCCATTACATGTTCGCGTCTGACCCTTCAGCTCTGTTTCCGCGCCAACAAAGTTAGTGCCCCTGTCCGAACGCAGCTGGCGTACAGGACCTCTAGTAGACAAGAACCTTCTCAATCCGTTGATGAATGAATCTGTTGATAACGAATTCAAAGTCTCGATGTGGATGGCTCTTGACGCCATACAGCTGAATAGTAGGCCATATCTCTTCATTTCTTTCCTGCCCTCCTTAATGATGAATGGCCCAAAACAATCCATGCAGGAATATGTGAATGGCGGAGCAGGTTCAACTCTGTCCCCGGGTAGGTCTGACATTTTTTGCCACTGGATTTTTCCCCGTAGCTTGCAACAGGTCACGCATTTGCGAATGAGTCTGGAGACTATCCGGCTACCCGCGAGAATCCAGAAGCCACTTGATCTCAACTGATTTATCGTCATGCCACGACCTTGGTGCGCGGTTTGTTCGTGGCAGTGTCGAATGATCAAGTCGGTCATGTGGGATCCTTGGGGCAGGATGGCTGGATGTCTGCTCTCATATGATGTTTCAGCTCTGCGAATACGTCCTCCCACTCGCATTATGCCATTACTGTCCAAGAAAGGATCAAGCTGATGAAGACGAGTGGCTTTCTTTAAGTAACGCTTTCTCTCTCGAACAGACTCAGCGTCTGCATCTTCAGGCCTTTCTAACACCTTGATCTCATCAGCAAACGCTTTCCTTTGAACCTGGCTGATAATTTCTTTCTCGGCCTGTCGTAGCATTTCAACCGACATGGGGTTTGCATTCAGATTCCCAGTACTCTCGGCTTCGTGGATGTGATGCTTCTTCATACAAATTTGTCGTAAGAAAGCCTTAACACGTAGACAGTTTGCTACTGCTCTCTTTACCTGATACCAGTCAGAAAAGCGATCCAGACGCTTCAGGTCAAATCCTGGCTGATCTATTGAGGTGGCATGCACGCAAGTCCTTTTCACCTCAGGGTCAGTTGGTGAAATGACAAATCCTTCCCTCCTGCCAGTATGAGAAAATTCCCTTTCCCACAGAAAGCTGGGACCAGACAACCATTTCGAGGTGGCAATTTGATTGACGGTCAGTCCTCTTGACGCTTCATCTGCTGGATTTTCATGTGTTCGGACATGTCTCCACTGAGATGGTGAAGAGTGTTGTCTAATCTGGCACACTCTGTTGGCTACAAACACATGAAAGCGCTTCTCGTCGTTGTTGATGTAGCCGAGCACTACATTACTGTCTGTCCAATAGATATTTTCGACGTTCTCCAGTGGTAGCTCTCTCTGAAGAAATGTGCTCACTTTAATTGACAGAAGTGCGGCTGTAAGCTCCAGGCGTGGTATCGTAACTGTTTTGAGTGGGGCGACCCTCGATTTTCCCATCAGTAATGTGCAGTGCACACTACCCTCCTTATTCGTCATTCTCAAGTATGAGCACTGGCCGTAACCTGTGGAACTGGCGTCGGAGAAGTGGTGAATCTGCATTGTTTCAACCTCTCCAAAGCCTGCCGGTCTGTAGCATCTTGGTATTGCTAGTGAGCCAAGGTTCAACAAGTCAGTTGTCCATTTTTCCCATCTTGGCTTCAAGTCTTCTGGAATTGGATCGTCCCAGTAAGATCTCCTTACCCCTCAGCACAACTGGTGCGAGCATGCCTAGAGGGTCGTATATTGACATAACCGTAGCCATGACCCCTCGTCTGGTATAGGGCCTTTCGTCAACAGTGATGCGGAATTGGAATGTGTCCGATTCGACGCACCACTGCACTCCAAGGGCCTTTTGCACGGGTAAGTTGCCACAAAGAAGATTTAACTTACTGGTGTCCTTTGCTCTATCCTCTTCCGGAACGGACCCCAGCACCTCTGGGGAGTTTGAGATGAATTTGTGTAGAAGTAAACCACTCTTCTTACACATTTGTCTGGTTCTCGAGATCAGATCTATAGCCTTTACCGCGGTGGGAACGGATTTAAGTCCGTCGTCCACATAGAAGTTGTGATGAACAAGGTCCTTCACGTCTTCTCCGAATTCAGCGGCATAGTCGCTTGCAATCTGTTTTAGACAAAAGTTGGAGCAACCTGGTGATGAAGCTGCTCCAAACAAGTGGACGGTCATTCTTATTTCACTTGCAGGTTGTCGAATATCTCCATCTTTCCACCACAAGAATCTCAGATAGTTTCGATGTTCGTCTCTGACTTTAAATTGGTGAAACATTTCCTTGATATCGCAACTGAATGCAATGAGGTCCAATCTGAACCTACAAAGCACTCCCACCAGTGTATTAGTCAGATCTGGCCCCGTGAGAAGATGTGCATTGAGTGCTTCTCCTCTGTATCGAGCACTGCAGTCAAACACAACACGAAGTTTGTTGCGTTGTTTCACCCCATGATGGGGAATATACCATGCTGGGCCATCATTCTCGCTGGATTCTGGTACAAATTCAGCGTACCCTTTCTCGATGAGTGTGTTCATGTTTTCGGTGTACTTCTGATGATAGTTCGGATCTTGTTCAGTCTCTTTTCGGCCATGTACCTGTTGTTTGGTAGCTGAGGGTCATTTCCTTTAAAGGGAAGTGGAGTCTCGTAATGACCATCTTCTAAGACACAGACATTCTCTTCCATGATTCTCATGAATCTGACGTCGTGTTGTGAGAAAGGCGCATCACTTGTCTTCTCCGAAAAATCTGCTTCCATCAATTTCAGCATAGATGCGGGGCTTATCTCCTCCTTGATTGTGGTGTTGCGTGTGAACATCGCCCTTGTTTTGACAGACGCTTCAATTTCGATCAGTTCAGTGAGTATCTGACAGGCTGTCACACTGTGACTGAATCCAATGCGGTCTTCAGGACTGGAAACGAAATCCTCCTGTCTTGTTATACCAACAATGCTCCATCCCAGGTCCGTTTTTATTCCGAACGGTCCGTTATCGTCTCGGGAGTGAGTCACGCTTCGAGGAGCAAGGGCATTGGCGCAGTCATATCCAATGAGTAGCCCTATCTCGCAGTCCTGCAACGGTAATAGTTGCCCCGCAATGCTAGCCAGATGTGGGAATGAAGTAGCTACGTCAGGAGTTGGAATGTGCTCCCTGCTAGCCGGCATTATGTTACGAGTGTAGACTGCTGGAAGATCAATTCTTTTCTCGCCATTATGTGCTCGTACAGTCAGTCCTTGAATCCTTTCACTAGGGATTCTTTCATCCTTCATAGACATTGTGGAGAGAAGAAGATTCACCCTTGATCCATGCAGACCCATGGCCTCCTTAGTAGATTCTAGCAGAAAGGTAGTGTCTGACTGGGTATCCAGCAAAGCATAGATCAGTCTCTCATCTGATCTGTCTTTGTGAGATAGCCAAACAGGAACGATGGCAGAGCATTTTACTGCATGCGTCTGCGAGTTCTTGAATGATAATATGAACGACATTCTTCCCTTTGGCTTGATAATGAGGGTTCCTTCCTTCTATCAGACATCTGATGTCTGTCGTTGCCGTCTAGGTTGATGTGCAAGGATGTAGGATGGCGTCGTTTACAAGTTATACATGTGATCCTCCTTCTACAGTCCCTCGATATATGCCCTCGTTTCAAACAGCCGAAGCAAAGGCCGTTCTCGCGTACGTACTTCTTACGATCTTCTATGGACTTCAAAAGGAATCTTCTACAAGCATCCAAAGAGTGGTACTTCTCATGACAAAGAATGCATTGATTTTCCTGCTCCCTTCCCATGTTTATTCTTCGAGGGCGTGGATCCGTTGAAGTGGACAATGATACACCTTGCATTGTCCATCTCTTGTCTGCTTTCAGGCTGTTCAGGGAGGTGATTGGATCACATGCAATATCTGCCTCTTCCTCGATGAAGGCACAGAATATGTCGAAAGGGGGAAAGTTTCCATGTGACTCCTTCCATCTTAATACCTTTCTTCCCCAACTCATGACTAACTGCTCAGGGATTTTTGCTAAAATCTTCCTGTTCTCCCTCTCGTCATCCAATAGAGCCAGATTTCCAATGGTTCTCATGGCCGTACAGCACTGCCTTAGAAAATCTGAAAGCATGCGCAGACCCAGTGCATCCCTTGAATTGACCTTGGGCCAAAACTCTAACTTGGTCCTGTATGCGTTAGAAAGCACAAAGGGATCTCCGTAGCGGTTTTCCAGTGCCTTCTTCGCTGCAGAGTAGGTTATCTCGTCACCAAGCAGAGAAAACCCCTTCAAGTACTTTAACAAATAATAGAACCTGTCTTCTTGTGGAATCCCTCTCTTCTCGATGAGGAGGTCATATCCTCGCTTCCAGGCTGGGTATTGAAGAGAATCCCCACCGAACGCCGTAGGTTCTGGGAGGGGCAAGCGACTCATCTTCACCTGGTCAATCATACCTGCCGTCAACAAGTTGCTGGTCTGATTATCTTCAGCTGCAGCCTCACATCCTCCATTGGTGGGTCATCTCGTGCTTGATCGTCGACCCATCTTTGACAGTTAGTTATACTTTGTAAACGAGGAGACCTGTTCGAACGTTTAGCCCTGGAGGAGGCTGAATGAGACCCAGAAACGGAGTCTCCCTTGAGAATAAGCAATCTCGTGTGTTTGCTTCATCAGTGTCGCGTGTTCTTCCTCCACCTCTTCGATCCTGTCTAGACTTTCGTCTTCCATGTTTGAGGTCGTTCTAAGCTTGGAAAGAGACTCCTGCGCTTCCGTGACCTTGTCCACTGCAATCTGAACCGTATCGCGTTGCTGCTTTATAGCCGTGACGACTTCATCATCAGTCAGAGCGACCCTCAATTTGTTGGCTGCCTGACGCCAACATCTAATCTTTTTCCGAAACTCTTTCTCCATCGAATCGATCTGATATTGGAGTCCGCTCTCTGATGGCTTCGGATCTGACCTTGTTCTTCGAACTTGGTCGTCTGCAGACATGATGAGTGTCGCTCTCGAGGAGTAAAGTTTTCACTGAAAGTGTCTCTGTATTTGAAACGTATTGACATTCCGTTTTATTGACATTCCTTGACATTCCTTCCGTGAAAACTGTAACAAACAGGAAAGTCAGGATAATAAATTACCCCGTACATGTCACGATACAATACTCTGGCAAATCAGGTTTAGTATTTAAGAAATAACTGATAACTGTTCACGTTGTGTAACCTGTTCCGTACACAGGACAGGTCTTACCAACCTATGGCAATACCCAAGCTCAAATTCTGTTTACAAATAATCACGCACTGTGCTTCACTGTAAAGCCTGACATTGAGTGGCTTTGTATAGACTATTCACGCAAGTGGGTGTAGTCTATCAACCGCAGCATTACAAGTGCTGTAATTCACCAAACTTAAACAACTATCCGTATCTTGCTAAGCGGAACTAAATGCTATATGAAATTAACCACTGCAAATGGAGACTAACGTTTATAACGTTTATAACGTTTATATCGAACATAACATATTACATATGAATACTAAAGTTTACATATTGAACCCCGTTCCTACGAATATGTATGAGTCACATGCATTACTAACCTTTTGCCTCTATAATGAAGTGAAATAAACAAACAGAAACCCCCAGTGGAAAGGATTCCACTGGAAAGCTGGCAACGAACTCACTAGGAACAGCACAAACTCGTTCTTCTATATTCTCGCAGTCGCCACCAGGTGGCCCTAGCACGTGGAGTAAAGTAACCATCCAATAATATTTCTCTCAACAAGCGAACGCTACACTGACTCTGACTCCGACTCCAACACAAACGAATTTCAGCCGATTAGTTGGAATGCACTTGGGTCAAGTCGGGGGCAAGTTGGAATGCACGTGAAATCGGTACGATCTGCTGACAAAAATCGATAGTGTAAACGCAGCTTATCAAATGCGCACAACATAATCATACCAATCCACATTTTCTTTAAAATTACAAGCAGTCCATTTGTACAATGCACATAGGAGTCAATACAATCATACAATAAAAATACATCATACATGGAGCAAACACATAACACATAATCACACCATCAAACAGTTCTATTTAACGTGTAACATTCTAGCAGTGTTCGTTGCCCTGAGTGACATTGTACATCTGCATGTCTCCCAGCACATTTTGATCATAGGAATATGGAATTATTGGTCATATATAGGAAATGCAAGACATTTTATTCTCAAATATAGGAGTTTATAGGACAACTGATATGCTTATTATAGGGCATTTTGGCATATACTACTATGAAGTGTTTCTACCAATGGCGTTCTTGTGATTTAGCAAGCATTCTATAAGGCAAAAACGAAGATAGATAATTACAACAGTTACAGATATCTTATTTTCTGCATGCACAACTGTATACAATCAAGCATTCCTAACCCAATCGGGACAATGGTGCAGCAGAAATACAGACTGAACCACCTCAATTGTTCAAACTAGTTATCAGATCCAATACAACACAATTTTTTCACTAGGGAAATAATGCAGATTGAGTTGGGTAATGTCAACATTAGTATACAGATATGCACAAGCGTTAATAACGA